ATTATGGTCCCATAAAAATGGTAGCCGGATTTATTTGTCGGGTCACATATACTTATTAGTGACAATTAGCATTTTTCTCAACAAAAAATTTCAAGTCCCTAGAATACTTAGTAAATTGAAGAACGGCTGGGATGTGACTTGATGTGACAAATTTGCTAACTAATCCTAATTCTACCCTAATCCCTAATCCTAATCCAAACCCTAACTATAATACTAACCCTAATAATAAATATCCGGCAAATAATATCCGACTACCATATTTTACGGGCAACGCTGTGTTCGTCTAGCTAAGTTCGGGCATTAAATTCGAGATGCCCCAGTTTGAAATAATAAGTATTAATATAAGTTGTTATTATTAAAAAATCAAAATAACTGACGAATTATTACCTCCGATCTGGTTCAAAATCCAAGGTTTCAAGGATCCGAACCGTTCTACAAATGTATTAGTTTATTTTTAAAAAATAATAAATTATTCCACTTCATTAGGACTTACCGCCGGTCAAAGGTTCAAAGGTTCTAATTAATTAAAAATTATATAATTAGGACTTAACTTCAAACGGTTACAATTTTTCAAGATTCCGCTAAATAGTGTTAATGTAAACAAAAATAATCAACTAACGAATGATTCCAAGAGTTTAACTTCTGATCTTTTCATTTTAGCGTTCTATAAAATAAAGAATGTTACATAACGTTCCTAAGTACAAATAGCCAAGTTCGTTCAAGTACGGAGTAAAAATGATCTTAAAAACTAAAAGAAAAATAATTTGAATTAATACAGATAACAGATCAGCATAAAAGGCATTGTCAGAGAAAGATTCCTTCCTTCAAGAGACCAATACTCGTTTAGCAGAGCAGATTCCAAAAGAATTGCATCTTATCTCAAAAACATCCAGTGACACTAATAATCTCATTGCGGAGTCGCAGTCAGGTACGTTATATTGTCTAGCTTATTGTTGATTGATTAAATTAATAATAAATTATTTATTTATTTGATTAATAATTTTTTTCGATTTTATAGATTAGGACCGATTCTGCCCTTTCGGATGAATGACGGACCCTTCTTCTCGTCACGCCGGCGCAGTCAGGTGCGTGACGAAATTTTCTTTTTATTATTCTTTCTATTGTTTGTTTTATTATTTCATCCATAGTATTTTCTGAAGGGTTTAGTGTAATTCGTAGTATGAAAACGCAGCTCCATCTTTATCAGAAAAGGAAGCATCTGACTTATTCCTATAAAATAAATAAAATAAATATATTGTTTATTAATCACAAATCAAGAAAAAAAGACAAACAATAGAAAAAGAAGAAAGAGGATTTTAAAATTCGTCACTTACCAGCGCACACAGCGTTTAACTAAACCGTCAGATCCGTTTGAAGATCCTGCCTCCATTCTGACGAACCTAAAAGAAAGGATTAAAATTTTTTTTTTGTTTATATTACATCAATTTAATAATTGTTTCTTCCTTTTTCCATTACTTTTAAATTTATCTTCTTATTCCAAAATATACAAATCAAATTTTGCACAATAGATAATAGATCATTTAGCGGCCGCATCTCGTTTCAATTAAAAAAAAAGTTCATTTTTATTGAAGGACAAATGCATCATATTAAATATAAATTATTTTTTTTGTATTTTATTTAATTTAATTAAATTTATTTTGACAAACATGATCAAAAAATTACTCAATGTCTTAGAAATATAAAATTTTAAAGTTCAGTACGATTTCTAAAATTCTTACCCGTTCTATCATCTGCAGATCTTTTGAAGTACACGTATTGTATGTGGAAAATCGGTTTTTGTCGAACAAATTTACATGCACATCATTTTCACAACATTATGCATTTAATGTTCCAAAATGAAGAAATTTTTAATTTTCGTCTTGCAATTTAATTAATTTAATTAATTTGAATATGACTTGCAAGACATATAGCCTGCTTAACTTGTGTTTCGCTTTCATAACTTATTTGCTCTTTAGAGTCGAATCATTTACTCCTACAGGACGTTATGCACATTCTTCTGTTCTTGTTGGAAATAAACTTTATTTTTTTGGTGGAGTTGTTGGTAAATCTTGCGCAAATGAAGTATTCCATCTTGATGTTTCTCAACAATTTAATACAGAGCTTCCGCTATGGACCGACCTCACGCCAAATTCAGGCATAGGTTTTAAAAGTTGTTGGGCAGCTACGGCACTAACTAATAATAATAATAACCCGACTATATACTTAATTGGAGGATTAATGCTAAATCAAAATAATGAAGATTCATTCACTTCATTGGTATTTTCGTTTAATCCAAAATCAGAGCAATGGAATATGCCTGTAATTACAGGAAAAGAGCCAGTTAGACGTAGAAATTTTAAAGCTATTGCTGTTGACAATGAAAATATCTTAGGTTTTGGAGGTCTTACAACTGATCTAATAGATCCCCAAATGATTAATAATAATATGATGATATTAAATACCAAGGATTTAACATGGTCGTATGGTCCTGTTAACAATGCACCTTTAAATCGAGATACTTATACCGCAACATTATTATTAGATGGGAGGATCGTATATATTGGAGGCCGTGAATTAAAAAATATTCTACGTGATGTAGATATTAATCAAATTAACATTTATGATACAAAACTCAACATTTGGTCAATAATTGTAAGTATATTACTATTTTTGAATTTTTAATAATAAATTATAATTAAATTAAGTTAAATATAGCAAGCAAAGAGTAGTATTGTAATTGAGTCACGTCATTCACACTCGGCTGTATTAGGTATATTATGTTTTACAAAAAAGAATTATTTTAAATTCACGAATTATAACAATGTATTATAAATTATTATTAGCTCCTGATGGAAGAATCATTATTTATGGCGGGGCTAGATATACTGTAGATTCTATTGAAGATAAAGTTTCTCCGAACTTGGCAGTTTTAAATACTCAAACTACTCCATTTGAATGGACTGCCCCACAAGTTTCATCAAGTATTGGTGAAGTTCCATTACTCTCAGTTCATTCTGCAAATTTAATTGGAAATTATATGATTATAGCTTTCGGTAAATAATCCTTTTTATTAAATCCTATTAATCCTATTTTAGACTTTAATGCTTTTGTTATTAAAATTTATTTATTTAATTATAGGAAATATTACGACCTCTCCATTTACAAATGTAAATTCAAAAATTTACTTGTTAGACATTAACAATTATACATGGGTTGATAGATTTGAACCTGAAATACTCAAACCTGCATCTCCAAATCCAAAGTCACCTAATTCTCCTTCAGGTAAAACAACAACCTCAGAGTCTCCTGATGGTCAAGGTAAATTAAATACAATTATTGGTTTAATAAGCGGAATTGTATGTACTGCAGTAATCATGACAATCGGAATTTTTGGTTATAAATGGTATAAAAAGAGAAAACAAGACGAAATTATGAGAATTCCTGGTAATATATCAGCATAATTATGAAAGTAATTTAGTTATTTAAGCGTTCCCATGCACTCCCGCAATGTGATTAGATAGATAGTGATCAATTAAAATAAAGATGGCGATCAGTTCTTGAGCAATCTCTTTTTATCTTTCTATCGATTTTAACATGACTAAAAAAAGGCTTTAACTCTAGCTCGTATCCCATGTAATTCATTTTTATTCTAAATATATTAACGCCTCCAAGAATCGATCTGTAAAATTGACTAAACCCTTTTCCATTAAATCTATTAAGTTTTATTGTTAACTTGAATTTTTAATTTTTCTCTATTAAAATAAATATCTTATAAAATTGATTCAAATATAAAGATTAATAACATAAAATAATTTTCACTATTGTACATTTAATATCTATTTTTATGATACTTTAAAAGTTCAAGATTTTTTTTTTATACATTGATATTTACATTTTCAGCTAAATTTTTATAAATCTAGTTGATCGATACCATATTGTTAGGATGCCCTAATTAAAATTTTAATATATTTAAACTTGCGATATTCATAACTTCATAATCTTTATGCTGTAAATTCGTTAATTTCGTTGTTTTAATATTTTATTATTTATTTTATTTTGTGTAGTTTTAATTAATTAGCGTTTTAGTGATTAGCATTTATTTGAGTTAAAGAGCGTCAAACACTTATTAATTAATTTTTATTGAATAACATTTACATCATAAGCATTCATTTGTTTATTAATAAATACCCTTTGGCTTACATTAAATTGTATATAAATACATAAAAGAAAGTATTGAATACAATAGCATTTTATTTCGAAGTTACGAGATAAATTTTTACATATAAAACTTTTTTTGGTTATAATTTTAAAAAGTGACCACGTGAACCGAAAATGCTAATGTGCGTGGCCTTAATTTATTTGTTTTTTTATTTAATCCTGATTCTTTGTACAAGTTAAGGGATAAATCGGGATTTTTTTTTGTGCATTAATTTTACCTTTAATGCAAACAAATTGTGCGTTGCGACAATAAAATATTTTTTTTTTTTTTGTAAAAAAAAAAGTGATAGAAACAAGTTCGTTACATTAAATTTATCAATGAAATCAAAATAAGATTAAATTTCCGGTTTTATCCAAAAAAAAAAAATAATTGATTGTAGGTATTATAAAGAAAGAATTAGAGCTTTTTTTATTTCTTGATGTAAATACTAATTCTTCCTAATGGTATTATTAAAAAAGGAAATAAAAAATAATGACATTTAAACAAAAATGGTAATTTTCTATGAATTACCTTTTTTGATGATTAAATGGCGTGTTTTAAATAATTTTAAATAATCTGTAAAGAAATGGTAAATTGTTAATGAAAAAACAATCCAACCTTTTTTATTTTTCGTGAAACATCAAAAAGTTTTTAAGGAGATCTAATTAACGTTAATCTATAATTTTTTAGATTATTCTTAGTTGTTTGGTTATCGTAAATTTATTAAATCAAAAACAGATATAAATACAATGCTAATTCTTCATTCCCGAAATTTCTTAAAACGGTTGTCGTTCTTTAAATTATGTCTCAAATACCACTTCACGTGACAACTCAAATGCACGAAGCGGATATTCGAGGAGGATTGTCTAAACCATCTCCTCATTGTATCGCTTATAAACTCCCTAAAGAAGAAGTATTATCCATTCTTGAGAAAATCGCGAAAAAGACCACCCCACCAAGACATGAGACATCGATTTACACAACTTCAACCGATTGGATTAATTCACTTGCTAACTCTATCGCCAATGAACTTTCCACGGCCTTTAATTTCCCACCCAATAATTTCATTGAAGCTGGTAGAAATATTGCCAATGTCGTTTCTTGCGTAGGAAATGGAACGTGGTCAACCGGTATCACGCCTGTTAATGCTCTCAAGGATATTGAGACCAATTTTCCTTTGTATCTTTCGGATTACTTTGATCAATTGTCTGGTTGGTCAAGGGAGAACGCTTTTGAACAAACGTGTTCTAGAATTACTACATTAGGTTCTAGCAGTCAACAGAGTCATGGTGGCTCGGAATCTGCCTTGTCCGGAATATATGGTAAAATAATTTTACAATTTGCAAAAGCAAAATTTAAACGTGCGGCTAACGGACTTTAATTTATTTTTATAGCGAAAATTAATTGGAAATTCGGTGATATCAATCGTCCATTCAATACCAACTCAACCACTCCAACATTCGCCTTGGATGGTGAACCAAGCACGGGAGAAGTTTATAGATACTTTGCATTAGTTGATTCTTTTAAACGTGCCATCTCAATGAATGAAAATGGATCGATCACCAAGCACGTTTATAATTTCACCGATCCCGCGCAGCTTTGGAAAATCGGTAAAATATATTTTCATCCATCGTCACTTTAAAATTTCAATGATATAATAGATTTAACATGACGTTCATTAGAAAACTACGGCAATTATTATGCCTTGTATAACAAGAAACACAATGCATATTTAGCCAGATCTCTTGGGGGTAATAAAAACAAGTAAATATAATTCCTTATTTATCTTATTAATTTCATTTTTTCTTTTAAAAAAAAGCCAAAACTTTAATTATGCTCATTATACTCGCGCAATGTTATTCTTAACAATAGACCTGATAATGATTTGCATGAATCTGCCTTAAATCTTGTTGAGGATCCAGAGACACACCATTATTCAATCGGGCACCCACATAACTCAAATATCGAATATCATGAACTTTTGAAGGATCTAAACCTTGGTAAATAAATAAAAAAAAAAATTAACCGTTTATTCGGTTATACAATTTTTCAAAAGAAGCACAGAAATTCAAAAAAAAAAAATTTTTTTTTTTCCTTTTCAGTCACTATTCCATTAGTAGCATGGCGTAATTCTTCAGGACAATTCTTGAGCGTTGAAAATGACCAGTCTGGCACTTTGGGATTCTCCAATGGTGAAAACATTAATACTCCAAAATCAGAACAACTCTTTTTATTCGTTCCTCATCCAGGTAATTTCTTTTTATTTTTTTTTTTTTTCTTCACGAACAAAGATATAATTTTTTATTTCATTTGAAAATAATTAGATTTCTCGAATAAAGCAATTGTGATTGGACACAATGGAAAATTACTTGAATTCGATCCAAGAACTTCAAATAAGTTATCTTGTAGTTTCGACCTTAAATCTCCGGCTAGATTACCTTTTGTATTATTTGATTATGAACAAAATATTTGGCCAAAGTAAAACATAAACATAATTATTTCGGCTTTATGAATTTCTACTCGCTTTGCTTTATTGTATTTACCATTTCCTTTCATACCTTATAGGAGCGCAAACTTTTTAGCTTCTCGCTTACAACAGCATTTAATTGCTACCGCAGCTCCACCGCCCGGTGTAGGAACGCGAGTTAACGTATGGAAAGCTGACCCAACTGTCAAACGGGTCGGAATACGAGAGCTTTTCTTATTAAACATTGACATAAAAACTGGACCTATGGATTCTTTTTTCGATACAAATTCATCAACCGGACCAATATCTCCTGACAAAAATGGAGATTTCTTATTAACATTCGAAGATACGCCTTCAAAGATTCCTGAATCAGACAACCATGTTCGATTTGACGTTATACATACCTTTTCGGTCGTTCGATACGTATTTAACTTGTTAAGCGGTGATTTGGAATATCTTGATGGACGTCCTCCTGTATTAAACCATCCTTGGGGAGCAAACAAGAGAATTACCATCCATCCTCATGCTGGAGAAGATGCTAACGCTTATTATAGTCGTGAAGAAGTGGCATTGAAATTCTTTTATTTTAATGAAGGTGGTGATCAACCAATTTATTTGTGTAGAAGTTTCGATGTGGTGGCTCACGAAGCTGGCCACCTTTTCTTGGATATCTTGCAACCTGGTTGGCTTGCTGATGGACAAACTGGTGGCTTTCATGAAGCTTTTGGCGATTTGTGTAGTTTATTTACTCTTATTTCTATGGTAAGTACGAAAACCAAACAAAAAAAAAAAAGGAACATCACAATTTGTTAACATTACACCTTTCTTTCTCCCTCTCTCATTTTTTTTTAAAAAAAAAAAATAATTAATTTATTAGGCCGAAATTTCAGATTTATTCGTCACTATGACAAAAGCAAATTTAAGAAATCCAGACAATTTCTTATCAGCTATCGGGGAAGAATTTGGTGATGCGTTGTTCAAAAATAAAGGAAAAGGGTTGAGAAATTTATCCAACACACTTAAAGGTTCCGAAGCTGAATCTGAAGTACATGCTGTATCCTTGGTAATTTCAATATTTCTTCATATCATTTAATTGATGGGTCAAATTAACCTTTCTTATAAAATGTATAGGTTTTCAGCGGATTCTATTATGATTTATTGGCGGATGTATTTGCATTAGAAAGAAATCCATCCATCAAGAGTGATGCCGAAACTTTAATGGAAGTAAGTATTTACTAGCAAGGGATATCGTCATTATTTCATAATCTCTCGGTATTTAACTTTATAAAATTTTACGTGCAGGTTGGAACAAACTTGCGAAGAGCCCTCATAATCGCAATACGCGTCTCTTCTGCTCAACCAACACGAACCAAATTTCAAGAGATTGCAACGAATTTGGATACCGCTCTTGGTACTTTAGGCAGAAAATTGGGAGTGGATTTAACTAGTTGGAGAGAAATTGTGAAAAAACATTCTAAAGCTAGAGAATTACCTATTGCTGGATTAAAGTAAAGATCCTATATAAAGTTTAAATCAGTTGGTCATTGTAGGATATTCTTTTTTTTATTTATGTTCATGTATAAATATTGTATATAGTATTTAATTAAAATAAAACTATATAAAGTCCAAAACATCCGCAATTTTCGAAATTTTATCGTGATGAATTTAAAACCACTGACTCGACAACTCCAAGTAACAATATATATAATTTTGAATGAATTAAGAACAAATGGTAATATCATTAGCGTAAATAATAAAGTTCATAAAAGATTTCGAATAAAACATTAAACTAATATCCAATTTGATTATCAACAAGTTCTATACACCACTGTAAGTAAAAAAAATTATTTTAATTAATATTAAAATTAAAATAGAGGAAAAAGAAATCACCCCCCTTTTTTAACATACCGCATCGTTTGCACCAATCCTATCATTATGACCAACAATTTCGTAAAAAACTTCATCACCAATAGTAAAAGTGAAATAATGATCTCGTACAATTCTATCATATTTATATTGTGTATTATAAGCCTTTAAATTAATTAAATCATTTGCTCGTAGATATAATGAATGATTGTTTTTAGGTTTCAGATTTATGAATTGAAATTCAACAGGATCATTTGTACGACAGGATACTGTTATACAAATAAAGTTTCATATTAAATTCATACAGTAGATATACATATAATAGATACCGTACCTTCACCTTGTCCAGTTGTCGGAGACTTATATTTTCTGCTTGCAAATAATTCCTTATTAGTTTCTTTATGCATTAATTTAAATTTGGACTCAATATTATAAGGTATTTCCTTTTTACTACAATTTTTTAAAAACCATAAAGCGTTTGTATCTGGTAATTTTTCACCAGCAAATACCTAAGATAAAAAATGTATGTTAAAATAATATTGCTTGAATTAATAATATTTATATACTTATTAAACTGACCACTTGATTTGTAGAGCCTGTAATATAGTTTATATTACAACTTGATAAATATCTGCCAGTTGAAACATTTTTTAAGGCTATCAAAGAATCATATTTAATTATTTTTGACGCATCAAATACAATGTCATGAAATAATTTACAAATTTCATCAATTTGATCTTTTGAATTCATAATATCTGACAATCTTACAAATTCTTCTTTAAAGAATATATTTGATGAATACGTATTAAAAAGGAGTTTTTTAATTTCATAGGGATCATTAATTTCGGCATCATTACAAAGTGTACGAAATTTTGCAAGAAATGTAGCGGTAAAATTCTCCTCCTCTTCAGGAATATATTTCATTCCTTGTAACTTGCCCTTACATGAATCTTTAAAAATGTTAAAAGTTGAGTGAGATTTGAGAGTATTGACAAGTTTATCTATATTATCAATATCTTCCGGGATAATTATATTCGAATCTATCATTAAAATACTTAATTCAAGTATGTCTTGTGCATTTGTAATTCGATTGATTTTACAGTATGCGCGCATGTTTTTAACATATGTATTAGGATGACATGTTCCATTATATTTGGGTAATTCCATTTCTGATAAAAAAGAGAATAGGAATGAGTTTTTTTTTTTTTAAAGTTTGTTACATTTTCGGAATTTGTACGATCTGCAGTGATCAAAAAAATTATCACATGCTCTATCAAAGCTAAGCCACCATTCATTAATTTTTTTTTTTTTATTTTACCTCCTCGTTTTATACTTACTGGAAAAGTATGTAATAAAAATTTAAAAGAATTAATTTATTTTTGTATTGGCGTATAAATATATTTTTATTAATAAAGTTACAAAAACAAGCATTAGAAAAAAAAATAAAATTTTATGTGCATATCAGTTAGAACAATAATAAAATTCCGTCAAAAATAACAACTTATTAGCAAAACCTTCGAAAATAGGATTTCGACATCTGCCATTTGCTAAATTAAGTTTTACCAGGCAACTATACTTCCTATAAGCATGAGCTTTTTACTGGATACTACTCTTCTTTAAAGAATTTATTTGATGAATACGTATTTAAAGGAGCTTTTTGATTTCATCAGGACCATTAATTTCGGCAAAGTGTAAGAAATTTTGCAAGAAAAGTAGCGTAAAGGTCTCCTCCTTTTCAGGAATATATTTCAATCCTTGTAACTTGCCCTTACATGAATCTTTAAAAATGTTAAAAAAGTTGAGAGAGATTTGAGTTTATTATATCATTCGGTAATCGAATCTATTGTTTACATTGAATATAATTTCGCCAGAGACGCCATAATTTTATATGTAAAATTGTTTTGATAATTGCAGTGAGTTCTTTGAAGATCATTTTGCCATGTTGCAAAATGACAAATTGGCAGGATGTCAGGCTGTCCTAATAATTATTTTTTTTTTTTTATAAATACAAGCCGGAAATCCTTAAACAGCTCAAAATACAACGCTCGCCCCTTCTTGTATTTGCATATATACACCTTAAAAACCTTCCTTTATCCCTTCGCGATATTTTCGTTTTCGCCATTTTAACATTTATAATTTTAATTTGTAACTTCGTTTATTTTTTAATTTCCGATTTTTCTTACTATTTTATTATATAACTTTCGTAATTGCGCAGTTTTGATTAAATAGAGTTTTATTGATTGGCATTTATTTAGTAGTTTAATACTGTATATGGACATTGCGAAAGTGTAGAGCGCCAAAGTTGAGGCAACACTGGTTAATTTGATATTATTAAATAAATTTAGCGTTAATATTACTTCATTTTTACTCAATAAAAGCCTTATGCTTACATTCAAAATTATTTATAAACATATAAACGAACGAAAGAACTACTGTACATGCATATGCATGCATAAAAGCATGTCTAACCGTATATATGTCCTTCAGATTATCTCTATCCTAGATAAAATAGTAATGTATTAAATTAAAGGCATATCTGTATTGCTCAGAGGAGGACGGTAGTTATTGGAACAATGTTTGGAGTAGGATTGGAATCGATTCTACCAAAATCGAATATATTTTTAGTGGCGTAATAAGTGGAGATTTCTATTTTTATTTATGATATTTGAGAAAATAATAGCGGAATGATCAAGAAAAAATAAATTGAAAACCAAACCTATAAAGTAAAAAAAAAAGGTTGAAGAAAAAAAAAAAAATCAAAAAGTGCGGAAAAAAATAAATATAATGATCGCTGTGATCAGAAAAAATTTAAAAATTAAGAAAAAAAAACTTCATCAAGCCTAAAAATAATTAATATTAAAGAAAATGAAATAAAAATCGTTCCATCACTGCTGCCCAAAGCGAAAGAATCCCTCAAGTAGAAAAAAAATTTAACTAAAAATTAAATTAAAGTAACACATACTGCCGAACTAGAAAAGCATAAAAAAAAAAAATTCTGAGAAATCTGGTAAAAATTTCCAACACTATCAGTTTTTCAAAACTAAAAAAAAATTTTTTTATAGTAATATTTTTATAGTACAGTGTCAAATCAAATAAATTTTTTTAACATTTATTTTTTTTTTAGTTTTCTGCTGACACTTGACCATTATACTGCGGAAAATATTAAATATATACATATTTATTTTATTTCTTTACATAATTACATATTTATTTATTTATTATATTCGTTATATTTAACATATTTATATATTCTTTGTCGACAGAATTTTTTTAGACGAGTCTCGAGGTTGGACTTGTTAACTTTACAAAAAATTCTTATTTACACTATACTAGTGAATAGTGATAATAAAAATTGTCATAAATCTTTCTTTGGACATGGTTAACAACTTAATTGTTGACTTGGTTTCGATACAATTCCATTTAACACCGCGTTCAAAATTTTAATCGATTTCTACTCTTTTGAATCAATCCCAATCCGTAAACGTAACCTGGTTTCACTTACTGGCTCCAGGACAATGAATCTGATTTCATTTTAATTCTCTGAACTTCTAAAAAAGAAAAAAAAAAAGAACAAGCATTGGACTGCCGACTTTTTGGCCGCCAACGTTATGATGACATTGTATGTCGATATAAAAACGCAAAATACAGTTACAAACCTTTTCGATATTTGATATATTTTCTTATATCTAGAAAATAGATCAAATTATTAATGACATTAAGAGATTTCGAATTTAATCTTTTATCGCCGTTTATTTTATACTACCTATAACACACAAAAAAAAGTTTCATAATTATTTTAAAAATAATTGAAAACCATCTTTAAAGAATAAAAAGCTAAAACATAGAAATACTAATAAAAAGCACTACATTTCCAGATCTAAATAAAAAAAAAGTCAAAAACAAAAAAAAGGAAAATATTACTTGTAACAATGGTAGAATTTCTATAAGCTATATGGTAGCATAAACAAAAAAGCGGAAGTTGTACAATGGTGATCAGATTTTATGAAAATTTATTTTTTTTTTTTTTTACTAGAACTGAAAAATTGGAAAGATTTTTTTTTAATGTAATTGAAATTAAAGAAATGAAATAAGTTTTATTAAAAATATTATTTATTTGTTGCGCCATGATTATTTAATTAATAATAAAAAAAAAACTTTTTATGGTTTATACATAAATCGGGCGATAAATTTTATGGTTTAACGCTCGTTCTTTGGTTGATAAATAAGTGTAGCAATTGTCGGAGATAGTTTTGATGTCATGAATTCATTCTATTTTCACAAATAACTGTTAAATCGCCAATATACTTATAATCTATAATTTGGGATTAATTTGAAAATGCTGCGGCTTTTTAATTAGTTCTAGTCGTTAAAACGTTTATTTGTTGAAAAAAAAAAATTTCTCAAATGAAACTAATGAAAGTTCAATTTAATTATAATAACTTTTTAAAAATAAGAAATTGATCTTTCTTCTAAAAATAATACATTATTTGCATGTTTACGTCTTAACAAAATTCTAATTATAAATTTAAAATATGAATATACACAAAACTTTTTTATTACAGTAAAAAGAAAAAATTAAGAAGCAACGATATGCAACGAGTACCGAGGACAAGTGACCAAATTGAAAAATTTTAAAACATATCTGATTCAGAAGATTTATTACTTAAAAAAACCATATGTATGTCGAATGTGGATTTGATTTAGCCAAGTGCAGAAATGGAAGTTTCCAATCAAATTCTGGAAGCATAAAACGCCCATTTCTTTTTCCATTTAAAAAATAAAAATGCAAGTTTCAAATAATTCAAATGAGAGTATTAATTGGATTGAAGAATCTATTTCAAGAAAAACTACGAATTCGAACAATTTAGCAATGTTAAAGAGATTGGTGCTGGTAGTTTTGGAACAGTCTATCGTGCAAATTGGAAAAATTCAGGGCAAGTTCTCGCGATAAAATCGTTTCATAACTATAGTAATGCCGAGCTAATTCGAGAGGTAATTGCAAAATTTAATATGTATTCGTTCTATATAGTATAAAATCATTTGCAGATAAAGCTAAAATTTATATTTAGCTTGAACATCAACGGATTGTTGATTTTCATTGCAATATCATCCGCTTTTATGGAATTACAATTTCAAATCAAGGTATAAATCCTTCAATATATGTTGTTTTTTAAATTTTATTTATTAAAAAAAAAATATTTTAAAAAAAAAAAAATTAGGAAGACAATTGAAAAAATATTGTTTAGTATTGGAATATGCTAATGACGGTGCACTTAAAAATTATTTCAAGGAAAATATTAAGCTTACTTGGGAAGATAAATACAAATTGTCATTGCAGTTGGCTAGTGCCGTATGTTGTTTACATGAAGAAGAAATTGTACATCGCGATTTGGTAATCTTACGTAATAAATATTTTATTCTGAATATTGATTGTTGTTTAAAAATTAACGTTTAACTTTTATATATAGCATTCCGGCAACGTATTAATTCATCAAGGCGTTATTAAACTATCTAACTTTGGATATTCGAAAAGTATAGAAACAGCAACTAATTCGTCAAAACTTTATGGAGTGTTGCCTTATATTGATCCAAAATTGTTTAATAGAAAAGATGTCGATACATCGCTACAATATACGATAAATAAAAAGAGTGACGTTTATAGTGTTGGCGTGCTCTTATGGGAGATATCAAGTGTGCATCTTCCTTTTGAAAATGAACCTTACAACATTAATTTAGCTTTAAAAATTTTAAAAGGACGTAGAGAAAAGCCCATTCTTGGTACACCTGAAGATTATGTAACAATTTATTCTGGTGAATATTTTATAAATTTGTTATTTTATTTCAAATTAAAACATTAATTAAATTTTATATTTTAGAATGCTGGGTTTATGAACCAGATAATCGTCCATCAATTTTTCAAGTATTTGATAGATTAAATGCAATTATTCCAAAAACAAACTTGATTGGAAATGATCAAATGAATAATAATGAATCAAATAATCAATTATTAGAACAAAAACGATTAAATCATGTTTCTATTAGTTCTGATAACTCATCTGATGGAGAATTATCTCAAAAGATTAAAAATTTTGATCATGTTGATTTATCAAATAATTCTGGAATTATTCATCAGTCCGATCGGAATGCTGCTAGAGTAAGCGCAAAGC